GGCGGGGGCCACATTTTGAAAAAGAACCGCCCGTCATCCGTTTGACTCCCAGAAGTTTTTGAACGAACGCGCGCAACAATAAGGCGACATCCGCAGTTTGAAAATTACACCCCTTTCATCCGCGTACCTGTTGGAGTTCCAAGACGAACGTGAGCGGCGCTACCGCGAGAGACACCTTTTGAAGAACGTTTACCCCTCCTTCGGTGTAGCTGTTGAGCGCTGTTAAGACGAATGTTCGGGGCGTTTGAACCAGAGGAGCCTTTTCAAACCGAGCCCCACCCACATGCTTGCCGGAAGTGTGTAAGACGAGCGCGAGCGTGAGCGGCACCGGGGCGAGAGACACATTTTGCAGACGCCCCCCCATCCATCCGTGTAGTTGCTGGAAATTTCGAAGGCGAACGTGTGCGGAGCCAAGGCCAGACACATGTTTCAAAGACCCCCTCCATCCTCGTAGCTGTCGGTGGCGCTGAGGCGAACCCACATTTTGAAAACGGTGCCCGCCATCCGCGTAGCTGCTGGACAAGTCGAACACGAATGTGCGCGGCGCTTCGGCGATGGACATAACCCCCCATCTGTGTACCCAGTGGGAATTTCAAACTCAGTCGGTCGGTCGGTCGCGGCCCTCGAGTGGTTCAGTCATCTGACCCCTGCCAGGAGGGTACAAACATCGTGGTTAGCTTGCAGCCTATCGCTAGGCCGATTCGAGCCGAAGCGGCCAGGAAGCAGTCATGGGGGGTGGCCAGCTCGGCCCCTGGTGCTGCACCAGGACGGTTTCGCTGACCTCTACCCCCCTCGACAGGTCACTGCAGGAGGACTCACGCCAGAGATAGACATGACAACAGGCAAGGCAAGGAGGAAGGGAGGATACAGGCTGCCAGTCCTTCAGAGCCTGGAGGTGTGACGAGACCCCCATGCCCTACCTCCCCCCCCCGTCCTCTATCCTGCGGTGGCGGCTCGGATCCAGCGACGCAGGTCGGTTTGCACGAGCCGACGCTCGTTCTCTGGGGGGGAGAAAGGGAGAGTGCTGGGAGAAAATGCGGAAAGCGCGGAGGGGGAGGCGCCTTGCCTCGATCTCTTTGTTCTTGACCTCTTCCGCCCTGGGCCTCCGTCTGCGAAGAGTTTCGGCCCGAGTGGCGGCTATGCGCTCTCGGACGGCAGAGGGGAGGGGAGGGGGCGGCGGCGGCGGAGGCAGTGAGGGGAGCGTCGAAAGCGGGGCCTCGCCCCAGTGGGCGGTGGATGATTGCTCTACCAAAACCACATGGGTGTCCTGGAGCTCCTGCTCCTCGCTTGGACGCAAGGGAGCCTGCGACCCAGGAAGGAGGGAGGGTCAAGGAGGCGGCGGATACGCGAGATGCTACTCCCTGCGTTCGTTTTGCCCTCGGCAGCAAAGTCTGGCCCATGTTCTGGAGCAGCATCCGAGCATGGAATCGACGCAACACTTCCAAAATATCAGACAACAAATAATCATGGAAGTCATCTCGAGCGTCAATCACAACAGCTTCTCTGATGTGATCGAGCACGACCAACCCAATATGCTTACACAAGGCCTGCGGATAGACCTTCTAAAGCGTTGTGCGCCAGCTGCACGCGACGGAATTCCATCTAACCATGGCTTTGTGAACGCCTTGGGGGTGCGAGCACTTGCCGCGACCAGGCGTGTCAGTGAGCTTGATATGCATGCTGGGCAGACGAATAGAAAGACTCTGGGTAGGAGCCACATTCGTCTGTCCAACTTCGCACTCATGAAACGTGGCGATGGATGAATTAGGCGAGGCAGGAAGAGTGCAGATGTGGCAGAAATCCTAAGAGGGGACTGGTCCATCTTCCCAGTGCGCGGGGCAGGGTGCTCCGTCCACCCCTGGGCGTTACATGTGGAAGCTGTGACTCGTCTTTCAACCATCGCCTGCAGAAGCTGATTTGACACTAGCACCTGCAGGGCCTGCCTGGGAGTGAGCGGGACGACCCCCAAGGAGCGAGCCTCGAGCGAAGTGGAGGGGGGGGCCCCTCTCCAACGTGCAGCCGAGAAAGTCTCGCAGGGGGGCCCTTTCTGACAATCAAATCAAGAGTAGAGCGCATTCATGCAACAACAATTGAAATTACACAAACAACAATTGAAATTGCGCAAACCCCAAACCATGCATACACAAGCATAATGCAGGAAGAGAGGGGAGAACAGGAAGAGAGAGGAGAGCATACAAGAGAGAAACAGAGGAATCTGCGTCTCCCGCGCTCCCTCCCGCACTTCTCCCGTTGGTCGGGCCCGGGGCGCGGGAGACGCAGATTCGGCACGCAATCGGCCAACGCGTTCCGAATCTGCGTCTCCCGCGCTTCGGTGCCCTCAACCAATGGGGTAAGCGCGGGAGGGAGCGCGGGAGACGCAGATTCGGCATGGAATCTGCCATTGCGTGCCGAATCTGCGTCTCCCGCGCCCCGGGGCTTCCAACCAACGGGGGAAGCGCTGGAGGAAGCGCGGGAGACGCAGACTCGGCATGGAATCGGCCATTGCGTGCCGAATCTGCGTCTCCCGCGCCCTGGAGCCCACAACCAACGGGGGGAGCGCAGGAGGGAACGCGGGAGACGCAGATTCGGCATGGAATCGGCGATTGCGTGCCGAATCTAAATCTCCCGCGCCCTGGGGCCCCCCAACAACAGGGGGAGAGCGAGGGTAGCGCGGGAGACGCAGATTCGGCATGGAATTGGCCATTGCGTGCCTCTTTCGCGCCTTACGGATTCGACACGCAAAGGCAGATTCCGTGCCGAATCCGTGTCTTTTGCTCTCCCGAGGCGCGTCTCCCGCGCTTCTGCGGCGCTGCTCCCGCGAATTCAGCACTCGATCGGCCTTGCGCGCCGAATCTTGTGTTTTTACCATTTCACGGTTATGCACATCAAAATTGTGCAGTTACGACGTACCTATCTGACAATCTGAACCTTGCCGTCCTTAAAATGCGAGGCCCACGGGTCCGAACTATCAGAGCGAGTTGAATATCCTAGAGCAGGGTCGATAATTTGATCAACGGAAAGCACACGAATGTTTACATCGATGAGGGCAAGTTCTAGATCTAATTCTACTTGGGGCTGGATGTCACCTTGTCTCCGCTGGCCACAGAAGAGATTGAGAATAAAGATCTACCTGCGCTCTATCCTCCTGGGGATCTCCGGAACGCCTTGGAACGCCTCAGGAAGATAAGGCCATTGAACGTGGGAGAAGGGGGGATCTCAGGATGAGGGAGGGGTACCTGCTCGATCGAGCTCAGAAGTTGGTTAGACCAACCAGTGAACCTCATCATCGAGTCCTGGATGATCACCCTCGCCCGCTTAGGATCCATGCTCATGAAAATCTCGTGTGCTTCTCTTGAGAGGGGACGCAGGGGCCTGACAGAGAGGACATTGACAGGGAAGGGTAGGAGGATCAACCTGCAGATCGCGAGGTGGGGGAATGCCATGACGGGATAACACATCCAGCAACCTAGCTTCCTAAGAGCCACCAGTTCCATCCCTTTTTGCATGTTCTTTACAACTGCCAAGAGAGCCCTTTTGATATGAACCTTTCACCAGAGTGGCGAAGACCTCATATGTCGGAGCCACTCATCAATGGATCGGCGGAGCGCAGCGGAAACTACGCGCAAGCGCTATGTGTAGAACGAAACCATGACACATCATCCAGCACGTGATGCAACCAGGAGTCGTCTGCCTTTGGCTGCCTTGCAGCTACGAGCCGTGCGTTGAGAAAGAACAGCGAAGCTGTTGCCGATCGCAGCGCCGGAGCGAACCAACGGAGCCTGGACGCGGAGATCAGCGCCTCGACGTTGGGTCTGCCAACTCTTGACAGCACTTGCAGATCACTAAGGGCCATCTCCTTCAAACCGAGGAGACTTAACGCACTGGGAACGCAAACCGACGAAGTCCTGGGAATGTAGCCTATACCAGGTACCTGACGAGAACAGAGACGAGTTGATCGTGAGCGAGTCGAGGAACAGCAACTTAGCCTCTAGATCGCCTTGCGGGACCTCTCGGAGAGCCCTCGAGAGTTCCTGAAACGCTGTAGCTGAGGCCCGCTCCCTATACGTCAGTTCAGGGCCCAGCAGGGCCCTATGGTCCAAGACAGACCCGAGGTATACCGACCTACGGACCACATGCAATAACACATCTTGACCCATCTAGGACCTCACCGGAAACTTGGCCTGCAAGGTCGTAAACATCCAATGCGTAAATTGTGCAGACCCAGGGCCGCGAGCGGAAATCATCATCTCAGTTTGTCCAAATTTCATATGCGGCAGGATCCCCAATGTGATACTTGAATTGATAACGACACGGCAGACATGCTCCAGGATCTCGTAAACTTCGGCATCGGAGCCATGAGTGCAAAACCAGAGTCGTCAGCGCAAACAAGGGCAGGCAAGGTCTCTTGCGTAGAGGGACTATCTTCGCCGCTGAATATATCGTGAGCTGGTGCATTAAAGCAGAGCTGCATGTCAAACTCCTCAAGCTCCTTAGCGAACTTACTTGTCACCTCAGCTATGATGAAAACGAACATCGCGTCATCTAGAGGAGTGCCCGGTCTAGCGCCCCGATGTGTGATGGCTATCTTATCGGCCCAAGGGACCAAGAACCAGCCGAGTCGAAGCGCCTCCTGGACAATGTGTCTGAGATGATCACTCATGTCATGCATCCACAAATTGGGGGATCTCGGACAGGCTCAACTCCAAGACAGGAAGGTAGGACGGCGGAAGGCCCGCTTGGGTCAGCAAGAATGCCAGACCGTCCTTCGAGGTGCCTGTATGGAAGACCGGTTGACGGATAGCAGAGCACTGGGCATGAACTACATCCACGAATAGCAGGGCCAGTAATTGCTGCTTCAGCTGTGAGTATCTGAGCATGGTCCTGGAGAAGGAGGAGGAGGAGGAGGAGGAGGAGGAGGAGGAGGAGGCGGAGAGGCTCGCCTCTCCGACGTATCTCCCCGCCCCCCCCCGCCCCACCGGCTCGGCCGGTCGAAGCAGCAGGCGGACCTGAAGCAGCATCAGATCCACTTGCAGCGCCTCAGCAAGGAGGTACAGGAGCGCGCGCTCGGCCGTGGTTTCTCCGCCTGCGCCGTCGGCTGCTCCCAGTGCTCCGCCGTTTCTCCTTCTTCCCCTTCCTTCTCCTCATGTGTTTCCTCCTCCTCCTCCTCCTCCTCCTTCTCCTCATGTTGGGAGTTGGTGGAGGACTGGGAGCTGAAGGAGGAGGATCGAGTAAAGAAGCTGGAGGAGGAGGAGGAGGAGGAGGAGGAGGAGGAGGAGGAGGAGGGTGAGGAGGAGGGTGAGGAGGAGGAGGAGGACGAGGAAGACCATGCTTGGAAAGGTAGGCGGAGCGCGGTCCGAGGAGCGAGAAGCGAGGCGGGAGGAACCATCAGGGAGGTGGCATGAGGGAGGAGGAGGAGGAGGAGGAGGCGGAGGAGGAGCGAGGAGCGAGGAGCGAGGAGCGAGGAGCGAGGAGCGAGGAGGAGGAGGAGGAGGAGGAGGAGGAGGAGGAGCGAGGAGCGAGGAGCAAGGAGCCACGAGAGAGGAGCGACGATGGACGAGGATCAAGAAGCGCCGAGAACTCCCAGGGGCATCGGCCCTCTGGCCTCGAAGCTCTGCCCTCGGCCCCAGACGCCCAGCGGCGCCAGCCGCCGCGCGGCGTCCCTGCGCGATCCGCCGCCCCTCCGCGGGGCTTGTGGAGCACGCGCGGCGGAGCCTTCGGGCGGAGGAGCCTCGCCAGGGCGCCGCAGACGGCCCACCGATGGCCCGCGGCGCCAGCCGCGGGCGAGTGGCCGGCGCGCGGCGGCTGGCGCGCGGCCGACATGCGGGCCCCCGGGCATGAGCGGGGGGCTAGAGTCCATCGGGGAGCAAACCCTGGCACAAACATGAAAACTCGGCCGGCTCGAGCCGCATCCGCCGATGCATCGGCGATGCGGCAGGGATCCTCGGGCCCTACCTGGGAGGCCTGGATGAGGGGAGCAAGCATTGCATATACTTAACACCTCAGGAGGTTCGCGCGGATTTCTCGGATCGGCGTTGGACCCCTTCTCCCTGGCGCGCGGAGCGCGCCAGGGGCGGCGCTGGAGGCGCCGCCAAGGGGCCTCAGCGCGGATCCAAGAAATCCGCGCGGAGCGCCAACAGTTTATGCTTGTGGCGGTTTATCTTCTTCGAACTATGCACCATGGCCAAGACATCCCAGGCCCTTCGGCGGCGCCTCTAGCGCCGCCCCTGGCGCGCTCCGCGCGAATTTCTTGGATCCGCTCTGAGGCCCCCTAGCGGCGCCTCTGGCGCCGCCCCTGGCGCGCTCCGCGCGCCAGGGAGAGGGGGTCCAACGCCGATCCGAGAAATCCGCGCAGACCTCCTGAGGTGTTATGTTTATGCCATTGTTTGCTCCCCTAGTCCGGGCCTCCCAGATTGGGTCCGAGGATCCTTTCCGCATCGCCGATGCATCGGCAGATGCGGCTCGAGTTGGAGCCTGCAGTTCTCCACACGCCAACAGTGCTTGTGCATCGCCGACGTCGCCGATGCCTCGGCGATTCGGCGCGACCTTCCGACCCCATCGATCGGCTCGGACCCGATTCGGGAGGCCTCTTTTGGGACGGTGAGGCGCAGAAGGCTCCCGCACGATCGACACCCCTCCACGATCGACAAGCGGCACAAGCACAGATTCCCGGAGGCCCGCGCAGACCCTCGAAAGTTTGTGCGTGTGTGCCCCTGCGGGTGCTCACAGCCGGGCCAGGGCCATCCATCCTGGGCCCTGGCATGGAGTAAGTACAGTCAGCCCTCAGAATCAGGATGGCCAAGCTTCCCAAGGGTACCCGTTGCATCATTGCCCCTTGGGCCCATCCTTAGCGATTTTCGCTGGCCAACCTCGCTCGAGAAACGCTGACATGACCCTCCCAGGCGCTTGGATCCTTTCCGCGCATCCTTCTGATACGGGTTGGCTGTTCGAAAAAAAGTTCGGATGGCGATGTCCGAGCCACCCCCCAGGCGCAAGTTACGCCCAGCTCAGGTATCGCTTGGCGTTGCGGGGGGCGTCCCTGCTTGGCGCGGCTGCCGCCGCGAGGCTGCCGCGGCGCGACGCTCTTCTGGCCCAGGCTTGGGCGGTCTGTACACCGCCCTTAGGACCTGGGATGTCTTGACTATGGCCCGTAGTTCGAGGAAGAAAAATCGCCACAAGCATAAACTGTTGGCGCTCCGCGCGGATCTCTTGGGTCCGCGCTGAGGCCTCCTAGCGGCGCCTCCAGCGCCGCCGGAGTCCGCGCGGAGCTCCAACATTTTATGTTTATGCCATTTAGCCTTCCTCCGATAGATGCCTTCGGCGGAGAAGGGAGAGAGGAGGGAGCATGAGGGATGACGAGAGTGGTCAGAAGACTGGCCGAAACAGGCTTTTGAGTTCTCGCGGCCGCGTTCTCGCATCAGGCGCCATCACAGGTTCTGATCGCTGCATCGTCACCCTCGTCGTTCCACTTATCGTCATGGCTTCTCGCGTCCCCTCGACGGGCACCCTGCTCGCACCCTGTCCAGCTCATCTGACGATTCTGGCATTCTGCCTCCCTCCCCCTCGCGATCGCAAGGAGAAGGAGACCAACTTTGTGATGAAGCAGCTGCTGTCAGACGTGCCAGCTCGCCTGGACGCTCTGGACAAGGACAGCTTCCGATTCGCTCTTGCCAAGTCTTCTAGGTGCAGGGTCATCAAATTTGCCCTCAGGAGGACTGCAGCAGAGGGGGTCGGGCAGCGTATTATAGTCCCATGGGGCACCAGACGACGGCACGCTGAATCCGCCCGGGCGAGGCGAAGAGCAAGGACGAACCCAACTTGTGGATTGTGGAGCTGCAATGTGTGGAAGAGCAGTCGGAGCAGGAGGGAGAGTGCCGTTTCAGCATCAAACGTTGGAAATTACCATACCGTTTCCCGTTTCGAAGAGTGTGAGGGTGAGCACTCGTCGGCAGGCAGCCCAGGCAGACCTACACCACGGGTGAATCCAAGAGGAAGCAGTACAAGCGCTCATCCCGTCACTTCACGAGGGTTTGGTGTGACCACCCCTGACATGTTGCTCGGAAGCTGGAGGGTGCTCCGATGGCTCCACGATGCGCTTGTTCGGATGTAGAAGCAGGGCGGTTCTATCGGTCTACGGGCAGTTCTAAGCACCCGCGGCGCGACGACTGCTATGACCTGCGACAGCCAACCTGCCGTCAAGGACGCTGCTGCTGCTCCACATGGCTCGGTGTACACGCGGGTCGTTGAAAGTAGGTATTTCTGGACTTCCAGGCCCCAATCTGCTTTAGCCGCCTTCCTACCTCAGGGGTCGAGTGTTTTCCCTCCTTCCTCCTCTTCAGGGGGCGGGCGCAAGCCTACAGTCAAGACGCTGAAATAAGGAACCGTTTGGGTTCGGAAGGGGCTCGATGTTCCCCAGATTCCTCTATTGCCATCCCCCTCTCGCCCTCCTCGGGCACGGAGGCGCTTTTAGAGCCAAAAAGGGGCTTCGTTCCTTCTTTAGCGTTCCTTCTTTCAGCGGCCCGACTGTAATCGACATCCAACGCCGTCCTGCTTCGTGCTTCCACCCGCTTCCCACCGACGGGCACCCGTGAGAAGCACGCCGGCACACGCGGCGGCCCAGAGGCGGCCACGGGCGGGCCCTGGGCGAGGCCCCATGAAGGCAGGCCGGCACGGGAAACGGCCACGAGGCCGCCGCGGGCGGGCGTCGGGCGAACATTGGCACGCACCTAAAATACCTGGAGACGCTGTTCTGACTACCTGCCAGGCCACCCCAACCCAACCCGAAGATCCGAATTTCGGGTTGGGGGGGGTACGGGTTCCATATGCGTGTTCTCGTTGTTCCCCGCCCCCCCCCCCCCCCACACTGGAAATGGAGGTCAATTTGAGGCCTTCGGGTTGGGTTGGGGTAGTTTGGTGGGTGGTGATCTTCCAGTGCAAAAACGTACACAGCACAAATGTACACGTAACGTCTACACAGGCTGCAAACGTGGCGGCAGACACGAGGCTCTGGTAGAAGGGCCTCGCACAAGGATGACAGACGGGGCCTGCAGGGAAAAGCCAGACACAAACGATACACGGAAGTGGCAGATGCAAGTCAACTTTGCATGCGCAACGAGCATGCAGTCACGAAACCTCTTCGATCTGAAGGCAGAGACCGTGAACATGTTGTAGAGACCATGATTGGATGCAAGGGACACGAAGCAGCGACCCAACGAGGGCGCACCATGTGAGCGTTTCCTTATCCATTGTTTTGCCGATCGGCGCGGGCCCTCGCATACCCTCCCTCCCCCTCCCATGGAGTATATATTGGCTGTTTTCGGACCTGTTTCAAGCAGGTGGAGTCCCACCCATAGGACGCACTATTGCAAACAGTCGCGCTAAGCAGAGGTTCCGGAGCCAGAAGCCCCCCCCCTCCCGCCCCCCTTCCGCCCAATGTCGAAACGCCGGATGAGAAAACGTTCATCATGGGAAGATAGGCGCGAAGCAATCTGTAGTGCGAGGTGCGCGAGGGCACTTCGAAGCCGCACGTGGAACGGGCCGGCGTCAGGGCTCCGGCCGCCGCGCGCGCTTGCAAAACCGCACCACCGACGCACTGGCCGCCACCTTCTCCTCTTCGCCCGCTCCACCTGTCGCCACCGGATGCCTTGGAAATCGGCGCCCCCCCAGCATGCCAGGACTATTGTGCGCGCCGCCCCTCCAGGGGCGACGCGTGCACCGAGAAATCTTATAGTCTATGCGTCGTGGCGGGCGCTTTCCGGCCACACCGCTAGGAAGAAAATATGTACTACAAGATGGGTCTGTTCTATGTTCGGGTCGGACGCGCGCCGACACACGAGTTATTCCAGGAAGGGCCTCGACACACGCAACGCTCGATATTTGAAAGCCCAGACACATGGGGCGATCCAGAAAGGGCCTTGCCTTGGAGGATCCAGGGAGTTGGCATCTCTTCCCCGGCGGAAGCTGACGGAAGGCTGGCTGAAGTCAGCGGAAGTAAAACGAGGGCGCCTCCGCTGGCGGAAGGACGGCGGAAGGTGGTGTAATTAAAACATGCGCGCACAAGAAATGCCAACATTTTTTGATTCAGGGGTTCCGGAATGCGCCACATGTTGGTCCAGGATGGACCCGAGAAGGTCAGCAGGTTGAGCGGGTGGGACGTGACGTGGCATTTCGTATCTTCTGCCTTGGCATCGCTCGGACGTGTGCATTTTTTCTCGGCGAGGACCCTCGAGGAACATATTAGATCATCTTGCGAAGAATAAGCGCGCGAAGCCGAAAAAGCGCACGGGGATTGGACGTCCGAGCCATGTCAAGCTGCGGAGCGTACGGGGCCTCGTGGGCGACGCTCTGGGCCGCCAGGAGCCGCCCGAGGCCCTCCTGGGAGTTCTCTTGGGGCCGCCCTGGAGCGCGCGGGTGCCCTCCGGCAGCCTTTCCGATGTCTTCGAGGTGCTCGGGATCCCCCCAAGGGTGCGGTGATCACACCGTGTGGTGAGTCAGTGGGGATTCAGTGTCACCGCACGGTTTTTTGGGCTCGGGTCGCTCTCCGAGGATGTCTCGGGCAATTGGGGCCTCCACGGGCCCAAAACCTGTCAGTAACGGACAAGAACAGTGAGGATTTTCCGCGGATTTCGAGGTCACCGCGCGGTCCGTCACAACACGGTTCTGGGACCCCCAGGGGCCCTCTTGGGCGCTCGTGGGGCCATTTCGGTCAGTCTGGGGGTTTGCTTGGAGCCTCCTTGTCGTGCCCTTTTTGCGCATCTTGGGGCGACATTCTTGGGCACACCTTGATGGCCGAACAGGCGAGGATGCGGCAATCATGAAAAGGAGTCAGCCATGGTGGGCCCAAAACAGTAAGTTATTGCACGGTGAATGTGTAAGCTATATGATGTGCAAGCTATGTGATGCAAGCTTTGTGGTGCAGTGAACGAGGTGCAAGCTCGAGGCGGCAACGAGGCAGCAAGGGGTGGCAACATAGCAAAGCCTCGCCGGACCCGCCCAGCGCACGAGGCCACCACGAGGCGGTCACGAGGCGGCAACGTTGCGAAACCTCGCCGGACCCACCCAGCTCACGAGGCGGCAACGAGGCGACAACGAGGCGGCAACGGGCGGCAGTTGGCGGCAACGTTGCGAATCCTCGCTGGACCGACGCAGCGCACGAGGCGGCAACGAGGCGGCAACTGGCGGCAACGTTGCGAAACCTCGATGGGCCCATCCAGCGCACGAGGCGGCAACGAGGTGGCAAAGCGCGGCAGCGGTGCGAAACCTCGCCGGATTCACCTAGCGCACGATGCCGCCACGAGTCGGTCACGAGGTGGCAACGAGGGGAAACCTCGCCGAACCCACGCAGCGCACGAGGCGGCACCGAGGCGGCAACGGTCGGCAACGTTGCGAATCCTTGCCAGGCCCACCCAGCGCATGGAGTGGCAATGATCGCCAATAGGCGGCAACGTGGTACAACTTTCCAAATTCAACAAATCCTTGCGGAAACAAGTAAGAATGTCTAAGTGTAAGCGCTTTGGGGGAATTGAGAATATGTTGATGTAAGCTTTGTTGTGTCAATTTGGGCTTGATCGCAATGCCTACACAGAGGGTGTTATGCCGCGTGGTGGCCGTCCCACGCGCCCAGATAGAAGGCCAGGCCATTTTCGGGGTGCGCAGCTTGGAGGAAACGGGGACCTTTTGGAGCCATCTGGAGCGCCGACCGCGCAACCGATAGCGCAACCAAAACCAGGCCGTCTTCTGCTCGGTCGCCAGCACAACGGCGCAACCCATGGATCGTGCAACCCGTTGCGCAACCCATCAAAGGCGCAACCTACGACGCAACCAATTCATGGGGCATCCTATAGCGCAGCCCATGAATGTGGCGCAACTTGTGCATGACGCAACTTGTGCACAACCACTGGATCACGAAACCCGTGACGCGCATCATGGGTGTTACGCACCCCTGGGAGTTTCTACGGGACTATTTCCGATCTATGCTCGCCGTTTGGGTTGGCAGTTGGGCCCAAGCGGCAAGATTCTTGAGCTTACGCCACACAGCAGACCCCTTGGGGAATTGGCGGTTGTTGTGTGTTTGCTGGAGGGCCTCTAAGAGGCCCTTCGGCAAGAGTCTTGTGCGCTTTTTGGGGGCTTCTTGGAGCTCTTCTGGGGCTTCGTGGAGGCTTTTGCGGGGTCTCTTTTGCTGACATTCTCAACATTCTCCGTGCACGTATGGGGAATGGGGCGAGAACCCGCGTATGCAGACGGAGGGCATCTGTCAAAACACCCGACACATGATTATCGAATGGCCTTCGGCGCATTCCGCCACCGTGCCTGGGTTGCGGATCTGAGGCCACTCGGATGGCCGATGGGGTCTCATGGGAGGCGTCTCGGAGGCGTCTTGCAGGCAGTTTTTCCCAACCCTCCTGCGTTGGGTATTCGTTTTGAAAAGAACACTGTCGGCGCGTCTTCTCCTTCTCCCGCTCCACTCCTCCTCTCCTCTTCTCTCCTGCCTCTCACCTCGCTCCTGCCTGCGTGCCCGCTTGCCTCCTACCTGGCCATCCCTGGGAGGCTGCGATCTGCGAAGCTGTCGCCACTTTCGAGGGCTGCTGGGGGGGTCCAGCGGAGTGGCGTCTTACCCAGACTCACAGGAGACCTCGCCATCCCTTTGGGGCTG